CGGTTTAGCTAAGCCTGAAGTAGGAAGAGAAGTACCAAGTGTTTGATGTGTCTGTTTTGCACAAAATGATTGCTGCTGATTGGTAGGGGTCTTACGTGTGTCATCATTTCTGCAAGGAAGATTGGTAATATCTCTAAACACTCTGCTAAAGGCTGATTTGAGTGGAATAGAACTATTTGTGTTCAAGACATTAGCTTGAGTAATTTGGCTCTGTAGTGTTGGAGTCTGAAATACACGTGATCTTTTAGCTGGTTTAGGAGAAGAGTTCAGGTCTAGTAGAGGGTGCTTAGGCTTACAGCCAGTAGTTTGAGTAATTTGGCTCTGTGATGTTGGAGTTTGACCAACCTGGACTCGTTTATCTGGTTTAGGAGAAGAGTTCAAGTCTAGAAGAGGGTAGTTAGTCTTAGAGCAAGTAGCTTGAGTAATTTGGCACTGTGATGGTGAAGTTTGACCAACCTGGACTCTTTTAGCTGTTTTAGGTGAAGAGTTCAAGTCTAGAAGAGGGTAGTTAGACTTAGAGCCATAAGTTTGAGTAATTTGGCTCTGCGATGTAGGAGTTTGAATAACACGGGATCTTTTAGCTGGTTTAGGTGAAGAGTTCAAGTCTATAAGAGGGTAGTCAGGCTTTTTTTTCATAATTGAAAACAAAAGACTCACAGCGAGTTTATGCAAAATGGTGCTTTTGATAATCAATGACCTTCATATTGAAATAGCCTTTTCAAAATTAAATGGCAGATACGCCAGCAATCCACTAATATTGATCTGTTGAGAAAATATAGTTACTTTCTATATTCTAGGCATTGAGATAAAGTTAGATGGTTCAATGAGAATATTTTCATAATCTGTTCACTTATTTTGTTAGTGATTCATATAATAATTGATAAGTTTTTTAAAGTTAAGTTTGGTTGATAATTGCGCAGATTAAGGAAATACAGGAAGCAATGAAGATCTTGATTGATGCTTCTCTCAACCATACAAATACCAATAAATAAGGTATGCTTTCAAAACAGTTTCTTAAACCAAATCATTTACTTAGTCAAGTAAACGAATTTTCCTAAATATTTAGGTTTCTGATTTAGTTTGACTTAAATTCATAATTAAGTTGTAACCTTTATATCTAAATAGGCTTTAGTCTTAAACTTGTAGACATCAAAATATCAAAAAACCACACAACTTGTAGCCCAATATCAATACAGATTAAAATATTAAAGAGAAACATAGTTTGCAAACTCTTGTGCAGAGTTGCAGTAGTAGTTAATAAAACCAAAAGAAAATTAAAAAACATTCAGAGTTCAAAAGGGAAACTGAAAACATAAGACCTAAAATTCAAGTTCTCCATAAGAGGTAGCCACCGTAGCATATCCACCGATATTCCTCACAACTATTAGTTCTCCTCAACCATCTCCATCATGACATCTTCCTCATCACTTGAAATATCTTCGAATGAGCGCCTAACAGAAAATAGTTGCATTTATATTAACACAGAAAAATGAAAACATTAAAGAAGTCTAAACTATAAATGATACTTACAGGTAGCTTGGTATGTCTAGCTCATAGAAAATGGGATCAATGTACAGACGTGAACAGCAAGATTCACTCATTAAGACATTGTTTCCTATAGTACAATAATGAACACAGTCAATATAACAATGCAAATATAAGCTCAGCAAAAGCAAACTCTCATTAAAACCTACCACAGTACGATGAGATCCTCCAGAAACGCAAGACTGCAACTACCTTATCATAGTTGTACTCTACAGAGCTAATTCTCCTGGACCAAGCGTTGACAAAGAACTCACACCACTTACCAATAGCAACGCATTTGATAGTCTCACCCCTAGATTTCATGTAGCCATTAAAGCATATTGTTTTTACCAGATATAACATGATAACAAACTTCATTATCTTGTACAAAAATAGACAGAAATATTGATAACTTACACATTGTTAGCAATCTTGAAACAAACATAGCGAGCTTCATAATCTGTCTCCCCAGGACGACAAACAAATGGAAACCTTCCGATGGTTGAAACAGCAGAGATCACACCCATAGCATCTAATTAAAAACACAACACATAATGGTGAGAAAGACATATAGAAAGATAACTATATAACTTGAACAAAGTGTCTTCTATTACCAGTCACATAGGTTCCATCATCTGGATGAGGGTTTCTGACAGCATCAGGAGTCACAAAATCAAAGAAATTGCTATAACCCTTAGATCTAACAGGCCAAATGGTTGTTTGTCTGATACACCTAATCTGAAGTGGCATGGCTGCAAATCTGGTTTGGTATTCTGAGGGTACGACTGGTTGGAAGTCAGACATGTAATACCACAAACCTTCTTTGAGTCGAGGTTGAAAGTTCCACATGTAATTGTCTCTAGGAATTGTTGCATCGCAGAAATTACCCTAAAAAAAAAAAAAACGTTAACAGACAGTAAGTAAAAAAACTCATAAGATGATCTTCACTATGTTTTAAAACAGAAGGTAAGAATTTCAAAAAAACCTTCTCATCTGCGAGAATCATGGTGGTTAAATAACCATTCAATGGTGGATTGTGATGCCAGATACGCATTATCTTAACATAAACCCTCCAATCTGTAGAGTTAACGCGAATTTGGGAAAGAAGATGCATATCAACCATTTTTTTAACTATTCTGCTCTGCTTTGAAAAGCGAAGTTACAATGTTTCTCTCTGTTTGTCCTTCACGATAGGTCAAGTTGGTTATATAGAGAGATTGAGTAAGAGGCATAAAATTTTTAAAGAATAAAGAGGAAATCGAAACGTTATTACTTTACTTGTTTTAACAATATAGACGATATTTTTTAGATTATAGAGAATCATTGGTAATGATTGAAAAAGTTGTCAGTTACCAAATGATTACTTTTAAAGATACACATTGTACATTGTTACCTGTTACTTATGGAAGCTAGATATGTTTTGCATGATTTCTTATCGAAGTTCCCAAATAAAAAGTAACTATGATTTCGTGTACATTATATATAGACAATATATAGTAATATTACATAATTTTAATATCCTGCATATATATCAAGTTAATTAATATTCTCATTTAGTTATATCTATATATTCATGTGTATGTCTATTATGAAACAAATGAATTAGGTATATAGATGAAGTTGTAGTATTAAGTCTTTTTATTATTTTTGCTATTAGGTTAATTAGTATAGAATAAGAATATAAATAAAAGAAATGATATAGCGAAAGCTAGTTGCATTCGTGAAAGAGTAACAATAGAAAGGAAATCTAAAACAGAATAGCAAGGAATAAAAGAAAGCAAAGTCTTAGACATCTGAAAGCAATAAGAAAACAAAGCATGGAATAAACCGGTTCACAGCAACAATTTTTCACTTCTTTTCAACCTTGACCTTCACACCACCTTTAACACTTTTTCCCTCCTTCTTCACCTCAAGTGTGCCCCCTCCACCATTGGATACAACATTGTTACTCTGATGGTCATATTTGATAGCATCATCCTTAATCACCACAGCAACATTGGGAGCTATATCCTTCACATTTCCCTCTTGATCTTTAGGAATAGAATCTTGATCACCAAAGTCAATAGGTTCAATGCACAACTTCTTAGAAGAAGAAGAATGATCAGAAGAACCGGGAATGTCGGCATACACACGTTTAGATGATGGAGTGACAGAGTCAGAAGTCTCTTGACTCATCTCCAGCATTAGTGGCACCTGTAGTTAAACAAAGGATGAAATTAGTACTATAGCCTAGCTGGTGAAAGGATCCATGTACTTCTGCTTGTGTTAATCAAAAATGTTCTGTCACAACAATTACCTGATCACCAGACACTATAGATGCAGGATTGACCAACTCCTGAGAATCCTCCAGCAACTGTTCTTCAAGCAAAAGGCCATCTTTCTGCAAAACTTTAGAGACCTTGTATATCTCCTTCCCATCCCAGATATTCTCTTTCTCAACACACACCAGGAAAAGGAATGTCCTTCCATATAGATTCCTAATTGCATCTTGTATGTTGTCTGGGTCATCAATCTAAAATTTAAAACATATCAGGAACTTGTGTGACTAATACAATGTAGACATATATTTAAATATAAAGTAGTTCATGAAACCTCATCAACGGAACCATTAAGCACAGATGGAGCAGACTCGCCAATGATTTCAGAGCAAACTGAATCAAAAAGTAACAGTTTAGCCTCACCAGTGTTGTCCATCACATTAGCATAGAGCATAAACCTGCATCAAATGTAAACAATTATGTAAGATATCTATTTTACATTTACAAAATAATAAAATATAACTAACGTAGTTTTTCACCTAGCCACGACATTAGTGACAACAGATTTGCAAGTGTCACACCAGAACCTCGGCTTCTTCCCTTTGTTATTCACACCATTCACTCCATGGTGGATATGTGTGACTTTCTTGTTGCAAGCACGACAACTAATGTAATACCATGCCCAGTCGGTATCAATTGCATAGATAGTACACATTAACCTTGCCTTGCCAATCTAACAAAAACTTTAGATATGAATATGGATATTTATAGACATTAAAAAGTATTGGTAATGATAGCTTACTCAAATAATTACCTCGACAGAGTTAAGGAGATCCAAAATGGTCTTCCTAGGATGATCTAAAGAAGTATCATCCTGATTGGCAACAACAATCTCAAACTTTGGGACTCTTTCACGAAAGATACACAGTGCACCATCAGTTGGGAGACTATATGTCAACAACATGAAATATATAGGTTAGTTCCATAGTACATAAGTAAATAAAGTAGGCTAAAGATTTAAATCACATGAAATGATTACCTTTGAACAAACACAGCAACTTCAGGGATTGCTGGATTCACAAAAACTTGTGAAGCATCAAATGAGTTAGACAAAGTCTTTACACCTGTAGAATTTAAATAAGATGTATGAGCCATGACGTTGCTCTAAACAGTATCAGTATATTATTAAGGCTGGTAAGATTCTGTTTTATGTACCTTTAAAGGATTTGATCTTCACAAACCTCAACAAACATACAACAGGACGCCCACCAGCAGTTTGGCTTCCTCTGTACACAGTCTCAGCAAATGATCCCCACAAGGTAACACCGATCCTTTCATCACTTTATATTTACAAAACAGAACATATTATGTAGGATCCATAGTAGATATATGGATAAAAGATTGAAAACACTTACGTCTCATTTCTCATCTCAAACTCAATCTTGCTAGTTGGTTTGTTGTTGGCCTCAAGAGTCAACAACTCTCCAATCATAACAATCTGGCCAATAACATCTATAAAAGAAAAGCAGAGGTAAACATATTTCATGATCTGTTTGTAAACTGTAGTTTATCGCATTTAATATATATATAAATAAAAAATATACTTACCAACCAATATGTATGGATTAAGATCTCCATTTTGAATTCTTTTGAAACTGGCTAGTGTCAGGTAACTTGAGTCAGAGACAGGATCACATGGAAATACATGAGTTCCATTTGTGAAAGTCATCTTATATAGATGAGAGGTTGGACGGAATTGGCCACTGGCATAATTGAGAGCAAAGATCTCAATGAAAACCCAATGACCAACAGGTAAACTTGAGACATATCTGCTCACCAGTTCTTTCTTCACAGTAGCATGAATCTTCTTGCCCTGTGAAAGAACAAAAAACAGTAGAGTCAGAAAAAAATAATAGCTTTTAAATGGTTTAATGTAAACTAATTCACAATTAACATTGGCAACTGAATTACCTCCATATCAGATAACACCAACTCTAGAGTTTCACCAGTGCTGGCTGTGTACTGCCGCCAGGAGTGAAGTACCTTCACTTGGACTCTCCATTGTGTGGTGTATGGCCTGACATCTTTGAGGTAAGCAAATGTTGCAGCAGCCATTGTTTGATGGTTTATGGTAAGATCTAATGTTTAGATTAGAGGCTGTGAGGGCTGATGATAATGAGAGGTTAGACATGGAACTATATATAGGGTCATATATTAGGTTAAAGAAAACTTGATCACAAAGCATATTGGTATCGCAATCTTGACCAAATCGGCATAAAATCTTGTGATTGTTATAGTTATGGAAGCTAGATAAATGGTTAGCAATAAATAGGTTGTGATCATCAGAAATATTTGGGAAGGAGAGGATAATGTAAAGATACTCTGGAATGATATGCACAGAGGATAGGCGGGAAACATAAATTCAATTAGTAGAGGGAAATACATATTTGGAAGTAATTTAAATAATTGATTAGGTCGGTGAGCAGTTATTTGTTTAGATTGTGTAAATATTAGTAGAATCAATTAGGTATTATAAGCATCCGGAGATATTTGATTATGGAAATAGTTTATGAATATGTCAAGTGCGAAATAATAGCTTAGTAGAGCATCAACACATATTTGGAAGGAATTTAAATTGACAGATACTGTAAATAACTTTGTTGCAGATTGCATTGGCGAAAATAAAGGAACAACGGAGATTGCATTGGCGAAAATAAAGGAACAACGGAGATTGCATTGGCGAAAATATACTTAAGGTATGAGAGATGTTATTTGTATTGATTTTGGTAAAAATAAGTAGATGAATTAAAGACAACATAGCTTCATTTATCAGTTTGAAATTAAGACAACATCCCTTAAATCTCTTATTCTAGATCCGAACAGACTTAAACCGGGTCAAACCCGGATCCAAAAGAATTAAAGCAAAAAAGTACTATAAAAATGTATATGTAGATTAACACAAGAAATTGAAGAAAAAAAAAAATAGAGATTCACAATTTGTTTTTTATTCTTTTTTTTTCCAACTTGCAAAAGCTTAAGCATAATAAAATTCTTTTTTTCTCAAATAAAAAGAAAAAAAAAATCAGAATCAGATCCTAATGCTTAAAGAATGTTTCAAATCGCCGACATGAAGAAGATGCTTTCCCAAACCAATCTTCCTCTTCCCAATCTCATCAACAACACTCAGATCTTTGCACACCTCTACCTTAAACCTAACCACCGCTTCTTCCATCTTCCCCAATCGAATCTTCTCAAATCCTAACAAATGCTTCCTCGGCGATCCGTGAATCGCCGGCGGCGTCGTGAATAGAAACACCGTGTGAATCCCTTCTCTATCTCCTCCGTTACGTACCTTGATCTGAACCTCAAACGCCGATCCTCCGCCGGAGACAGCGTTTTCGCAGTGCGGTCCGATTGCGTCCAGCGATTGACATTCCGATGATCGGCAAACGTGATTCTCTTCAAGACTGAGAGAAACGAGACTTGGAGCTTTGACTAAGCTGTGACTGAATTTGGTGTAGCTGAGTCCATCTCCGAAGGCGTAAACTGTTTCTCCGGTGTAGAATCGGTAAGTCCGACCCGGATACCCTTTTGATTTATCGGGTCTCATGTTCATAATTGTCATCGGAACTTTCTCTACATACGACTGTGGATACCAAGTCATCGGTAATCTTCCACCTACAAAACCAAAACCGGTTATCATCAAAATTGCAATTACAAAACCGGTTTGAGCTATAGAAATTTGCAGTTACAGAAACAGAGTCTTTACTTGGATTATAACGGCCAAAGATGATATCAGCAATGGCGATACCACCGGCTTCTCCGGGATACCCAACCCACAAAATTCCGGCGATCTTTGGGTCATTCTTAGCGAATGTAATGTCGAAACCTCCACCGGACATGATGACGAGCAAGACCGGTCCTTTTGCTGCTTTAGCCACTTGGATCACTAGCTCTTGTTGCTGTCCGGGAAGATTCAGGTCCACTCGGTCGCGGCTCTCTGCCTCTATTGATTGATCGGCACCGATCAACAGCACTGTCACATCTGCTGTTGCGGCTAGTTTTGTGGCACCTGCTACATCCGCTACCGCACAAGCAACATTGGAGCAGCCTGGTAGATATGTTGTTGATACCGCCCCGGCTAATCCTTGTAGTGGTGTTGTGTATTTGCACGGCGTGCCTTCGTAGTTCCCGATCATTGTCTTGGTGACATTTGCGTTCGGTCCAATCACTGCTAGCGTTTTGATCGATTTAGGAGATAGCGGTAAGAATCCAGTATTCTTGAGTAGAACAATGCCTTGTCTTGCCGCGTCTGCCGCTAGTTCTTGATTCGCAGACGTGCAAACGTCCGTAGGACCCAACCCACCATAGATCTGGTTCTTCGGATTTCCATCGAAGAATCCTAAACGCATAAGGGTCAAAAAGTTGTTTGAAATCGCTTTATCGATAGCTGCCTCGTTTACCAAACCCGACTTAACCGCTTCCTCTGTATGTTGACCCAAGAATGAACCACAGTTCAAATCCAAACCTGCCAATATAGATATGGCTGCAGCTTCGGCTGGTGTCTTGGTATAGTGTTGGTTCTTATACAACACATCTACTGAATCACAATCTGAAACAATGTACCTATAAAAAAAATGAAAAAACAAAATCGAAACCAAAACACTAAACACTTGAAAAGGGTTTAAACGCGCTGGTTGGATCAGATCATTACCCATTCAATTTCCATTCACCGCGGATAACACCAGAGAGCAGATCCGGATCAGCGCATGTCGGTTTTCCGTTAACTTGATTGTAAGAACACATTACACTTGCCACATTTCCATCAACCACACAACTCTTAAATGGTGGTTGATACGTATCATCCATATCTTGTTGAGTCACCTACTCCATCAAAACAAACGCATAAAAACAGTTCGTTAAAACACTAAAAATGTATTTGGTCTAAACAAATGTTGGACCCAACCCGGACTCAGTCCTATTGAACCGAATTAACCTAATAAACCACACCAATTACTGAACCAAAACACCAAATCATCCCAATCCTAACCAAACACATAATTTGACAAAAACAGTTAAAACACTGGAAAATGTCCTTATAGCTTTGATTTTTACCACGGCGTTGAAACTGTAACGTTCTACTCCTTTCCAATTATCGACATCGTAAGCGGTGTAGTGTTTGCAGCAGGCAGCGACTTTGAGACGGTTAGAATCGCCACCGTCAGTCTCTTGAAGCCCCTTAACGTACCCTGAAGCATACTTGCTAGCGAGCAATGGATCTTCTCCTGGAGTCTCTTGTCCTCTTCCCCATCTTGGATCTCGGAATATGTTCACGTTCGGTGACCAATACGTTAGTCCGGCTAATCCCACGTTGTACATTGCCCTCGCTTCCGTAGAGACAACCTTAACAAATAAGTAATACCAATGTCATCCAAAAAAGCCATGTGTATCCAATCCGGTTCGAAATTGTATTGACAAAACTATATTCGGTTTATTATATTTCTTAGAAAAATAAACTGAAACTTAACCATGAATCATAATCATAATAATCATGGCACTGAAAACAAATAAATGTGGGGAAATTCATTATTGGTTACAGGTACGAAAACGACGTCGTATAACGTGTTGTAAAGTGTTTACTTGTACCAAACGAAAGATCAAAAAAGGAGAGGCCCAGTTTCATAATAAGTAAGATACAATTCCCATTATCCAAAAAGAGAAATAAAAGCAAAGGACGAAAATAAAATTTTTAATAAAAAGTGGATAAAAATTAATTACCTTGCCAATGGCTTGAAACAGAGATACGTTGAAAGAAGCGGCGGTGAGTATAACCTGCGGGAAACTCGTAGCTCCGGGAACTTGGCTGGAAAAATGCGTGCCGGGTCCGATGTAAGAAACGCCGTGGAGTGCTTCCGACCACCATTCATACGTCGGAATCCCAAGCCGAGTCACGCCGTTAGCTTTACTCACTAAAAACCCGATCTTTTCTTGCAACGTAAGCCTCGCGACCAGATCAGCGACTCGGTATTCGATCTTCAAAACGGTGTTGCAGAATCCATAGGCAGCGAGAGAAGGGTTTGCAGCTACGTCGCAGGCGAAAACCGGCGATGATTGAGCGTTTGATAAATCTAAAAAGTAGAGGAAGAAACAGAGAAAGGTTAGAAAAACAGAGGAAACAGAGGACGGTGGTGCTCTGTTTCTCCTTGTTAGTGGAGAAGAAGAGCCCATTGCGTTGTGTTTCGATTTCTTGGGATATTGGTTTTCGTTAGTGAGACGGGTTTTATAGTAATATAGAGTGAGCTACTACCACGCTCTCTGTGGTTAGTATAAATTATTGTCGACATTTATTTATTTTTGTGACCTATTATAATTAAGATTATGTAAAAAAGATGATACGGTCTTCGAGGAAAGAAATAATGATACGGACCATACGGTGTTTGTGGATAGTAGTATGAGGATTTATGACCTCTGTGTCTTTGTTAAATGATAAATCTGATTTTACTTTATATAGTTTTGCAAACAAAAGAATAAAGCATAGTGGGTTTTAACTTTATACATAAAGTGTACATCGAATATTCTACGTATAAAAATTACTTGTTTCTTTTTGTCTCACCGTATAAACTTACCTTTTCCGGTATAAAATAAAATTGTAAGTATAGATTTCGTTTGGCTATAGAGAGTACAATGTTTCAGGCGACCCCATATCAAACTTTTTACATATGTTTTTCTTTTTCAAAATAACGAGATGTTTGATTTTTGGCCTGTGTATATCTTCATGTCCAAAAGCATATATGGTAGATTTTTATCAAGAAGTGGGCATCTTCTTTAAGTGTAGCAATATCTTCATAGATAATTGGTGAAATACCTATGTTTGGTTAAGCTTTTAGGTATTGTCAATTCGATATTTGTGGTTTGGATACTCAACACGATTGAGTCCAAACATTGGACGGTGTCTTGTGCATATATGAATGGGAGAGTTTGCTAAGTCGTTTTTTGGTTGAAAATGATTAAGCTGTGGCTAGCTATTGCGTGTAAACAAGAAAGACAAAATGTTTTAGACTACTTTGAAATACTGAAACTTATGTAGAATCATTTAGCTCAATGTGGTCCCATTTGAACACATCTTTTAATAAAAGTGAAAATGCCCTAAAAACTGTCATTATTCACAATGTGCAAAGTCTAGTTTTCCATTAACTAATCACCATTTACGGTGGGAGTTGTTGTGTTGTTTTGTGTAAAAAAAGAAAGTCATAGATCCCAATAAGCGAAAGTGTTTGGTAGTGACCCGTGACGGTGTCGTATTATTTATCAAATGGTAAGTTTTTGTCGAGGTCCAAATGCAAGTTGCATTCCGTTGTTTCGAGTCCGTGAATCTTAATGGTTTTCGACTTTCAAGTTTCAACAGTTGTTTTCATTTGCATGACAGCCTGTCACTTTAAGGTTTTCTCATGCGCGTGACTCACTCACATTATACTTGATCTACATATAAATTAGTTCAATTAAAGCCGTTTTATGTACTTCATTTGAGGAAAACATAGCTAAATAAATAGCTTAATGGGAAGCATGACTTGAAACATTAAAGATATAAATTACCATATAAACTCTACTATGTACAAGAAGTATGAAGTATCCATCTAGTTTTGGAAGATTCTATATATAGTCCTAAAACCTTTAGTAATTACTTCGTACGTAGTTAATTTATAGTTTTTGTTACTTTTTGGCTTAGTGTTTCCAAACTAAATCCAATTAGCTAAATAGTTGATTTGACTCATAACATATGAAGGCTAATGTTTGTACTTTTACAGATAAAGAATATAAAAAATAAGTATGCACCACTTGGATTTTACTTTATGTTTATGTATATGTGAGTTTTATGGATGAGTGATTGTACGTACCATCGTATGGGTCTAGGATATTATATCGATTTCACTAAACACGTTTTCTTGTTCATTGCAACAT